GCTGTCTTCAGAGCGGGTCTGTTCTGTTTCCATCTGATGGCTCCACCAACTCAGATGAGGACTCCACGCAACTGTGGCAGGGGAAGGAAGGAACTGGGAAGGGACTGGAGACCACACATAAGCTCCTCAGTGCCTCCCCGCAGAACCATTATCCCTTTGCCCACCCACATCTCATCAGCCAGGGATTGGTCAGGGAATTGGGAAGCAGTCACCTCCGTTTTGGGCTGCTTCAGGGGTATGTGCCCTGGGCCATCACACGGCAGCCATCGTTCCCAAGGGATCCATGCTTGGTTTAATGTCCTGCTGTTTCCACCTTCGTTCTGAAGTTTTGAAGAAGGGTACCATATTTCCATTTTTTACTGGGCCTCCAAAACGGTGCAGTTTGTCTGGGTAGCGCTCCTGGGAGAGGACAGTGGCGCACTGAGGAGCGCCAGGGCTGCCACTGCACGCAGTTTCTGCTGACCCTCATCACACGCGCCCAGCTGCAGGAGTTCCTCCTTTGTCCTATAATTAAAAAAAAAAAGTTAGTCTTATGATACCACATGATCCAAAGACGTCTTCAAAAATGTCACGGAAAGTGACTATTAAGAAAAAGAAGTTATGCGTGGATTTCCACATTTTGGCAGCGAAATAAACTTGTACTTTGATTTCATTTTTCCAGACACTTTTTGAAGTCCCCTCTTACCTCATCACGGATGCAAATCCTCACAGAGCCCACACGTTTCTTAGGTTTGAAACTTTACTTTCCGGAAAACTGAAATTTCCCTCATGTTCTCATGGTAATAATTTGGTTGGATTGAATTCATTGAGCATAGCAAACACCCAGCTTTCTGTTAATTCTGCAGGCCACACTGAAGTCTAGGGCAAAATCCATAAAACTCTTTTCAAGCAAAAGACCAATTTTCATTATGAACATCAAATCTCAAGTGAATGTTCTGGGCAGAGGGCGAATCTCGTGGCCCATGCTGGGTTGGGATTTAGGAATAAAAGCTGCAAGCATTCCTTTCCCATACGGCACCCCCCGAGCATCGCAGGTGCTCTGAGACTGCAGATTCTGGGAACATGGTGTTTCCTAGCCAGGAGGGCACCTGTTGTTTCTGGTTTTAAAATAGGGCACGAAGATCTTTCAGTGTTCCGAAGGCTGCAGAATTGCTGTCTTCCTTGGTACAGAAAGAGATATTTCCTTTTGCAAAGTCAATTTCAGCAGTGATGTAGCAGCTCTGAATATCTTTTTTCTAAAACGGATAGTTTTTCTTATTTTCCAAACGTGGAGGGCTATGGGCAGGGACGAGCTGGAAATAGTCTACAGTGTAGTCATGAGCAAGAACAGCGTGTACCTTGCTAAGTGCTCACCACCCCCCACAAACACACACATCTAATTGCACAATTCTCCCATTACCTGAGAAGGATGTGCTATCATTCCCCATACAGGTGAGAACACTGAGACTCAGGTGACAAGGGTAGATGCAGGCCTTAAACACGGATCTTCTGAGCAAACCTTATATGGCTTCCAAACACCTCCTACTGACAAAGCTCCAGGAGAGCCGAGTACGCAGTGTGGTCTCACAGACCAGCAAAGATTGGGCTTCTTACCTGCCAACTGTAAGGAGGCAACCCTTTGCTAATGCCAGTGCCTCTGTTCAAGGGAATGCCAGGCATCCTGTCAGGCCTTCGCTAGAAGTGTGTTAAAAACGACCCCCAGACCTGAGCATCTGCTCATCTTTCTGAGACTCTGAGCTGCTCTTTCTCTGGTCCTAAGGAAATCCATCTTCAGCAGTTTACAGGCATCTGGCAGGGAACAGGAATACAGGACTCTGGCTCTCCACCATCCACGCTGCCCTAAAATCTTTGCCAAAAGGGGCTCATTTTGCAGACTGTGTTCTAAAGACTAACTACGTGGTAGAAACAGTACATGAAGGAACAGGGAGTGCTTTGCCTGGAATTAAAGGAGAGTCAGGAGATTTTGAGAGCTGTACTCACTTGCTTGAAGGGCTATCACAGGCAAGAAGGATCCAAAGTGTTCCAGGTGGCATGAGAAAGCAGAATCAGGTCAAGAGGGTGAAAATCATGGCGTGAACAACTTCAGGCTACCACAAAGAGCACTGCCCTAATAGCCAGCACCATTGGAGAAGAAGGTGGTGACCATGAAGTGTGTGCTCCCTGGCATCAGAGGTGTGAGTGGCTGTTCAAGGACCAATTAGAGAAGGACATCGAGTATCAGATGAAACTCAGTTCCCTGCAAGATCCCTTCCAGAGCTGATACAGCTAGTGTCTAGGTCTTTATGTTGTGATGTGAATCATTTATTACTGCCGCCCTCAAGAGAGAGCAGACTGGTCTTTGTGGGGAGATTAACTGAGGAGGGAGACCTGCAGCCCTGTGAGATCCCACCGTGTGGACATACAGGCTTGATTGCTCTGTGCACTGGGAGGCGGTTCCTCAGGGGGATAAGAGCTGAGGAAAGAGGGGAAGAGTGAGGAGTCCTGACTGCCGAGTTGACAGCTAGGGCCATACTTCTGATGCATGTGCTTCCTCAGACAGAGGCATTTGAAAACTCAGTGATAACAGAGCACTGCAGAGTGCCCCAAACCTGAAGGCAGAGCTCCCTGCTACCAGTGCAATTTCCTGAGCAGGACACAGAGAAGAAAAGGATGTAATCACATGACCGTAAGCATTTGCCCGGGTCCTCTGTAGGGATGTTCATCCCAAGGCATCCGGCTCTTATTCCCAGAGAAGAACCATCTGATTTGGACCGTCTTCACTAAACATGAATGACATGTGATGCACTCCTGTAGCACGTCACACTTGGCGATGCAATGGCTAGAAAAGGTGATTATTCATTCAGAGTCTCGTACTCAGTTTATGCTGTAATACATTGTTCTGTACAAAAGAGGCAAGTAAAATCTTTGATTCTGTTTTCTGAAATCAATCTCTCTGCAGTGGAGTCTTTCACACTGGTTAATCAAATGGTACGGTCGACTCCAATAATGTTCACTGCAGCTACATCTTTGCGAAGTTCCAGGCTTTTCCTGACACCACAGATGCTCTTATTCCCGGCTTTACATACAGGGCATTATAGTTTACAGAGTACTTTCACGCTCGTCGCTCATTTAAGCCTCATAACCATCTTAGGAGCAAAGCAGGGCAAAGATTACTACCCTTCTTTTGGGTAAGGTCCCAGACTCTCCCAAAGGCTCAGCACCTTGACCGAAGGCGCATTGCCAGTGTGTGGAGGCTGGATTCAGACAGGTCCTCTTCTAGCCTGCTCCCTGCTGGGTCGCTCTCCCATGCTGTTTTCTCCTAAACGAAACATTTATAGTTCTGAAAAATAAGACAGAATCAAGACGACTGTCTAATGTGATTGCCCTCATGAGTATAATCTTCTTCAGAAAGAGTTTGAGTTTCTGGGACCAGCAGTTAGCGTAATGGCTATGTCGCTGGACTCCCATGTAGTCGACCACGGTTTGAGTCCCGGACCTGGTGGCTTAAACTCACGCCGGGCGCGTGTGTGTGCGTGCCCAAGATCCCGGGAGGAGAATGGAGGAGAAGGGATTGCGGTGTAGCCCTCCCTCCTGGGGGGTGCTTTCTTGCTTTCTGTCTGTCTCTTTCTGGTGAGTGCACACACCCTATAGCAAAAACCTCTGGGGAGGGGGAAGAGTTTTAGTTTCTCACAGAATTTCTATTGAACCTGACCATCCATCACAGAAAAGATCGACTCCCTCGACTGAAAGAATAAAATAAAGCCAGAGCCCTGTGGGTCGGTCTCCTGTGATCAGACCACGCTCTGGCTTCTGACCTCAGTCTCCTGCAGACACCTGTATTTCCCCTCGAACTTCGTTCAGCCCTTCTTTGTCCAGCATTTGGAGGTCACGCGGATCTCCGTCTGGCTTTGAGATACGCTCACTTCTCTGTGCAGAAATATTTGGAAGCAGCTGCCACACAACATTCTGCCCGCCTTTCGCTTTCCATCGCATCTTTAAAACGGCCATCTAAACTATCAATGCAATGATTTTCTTCAAAATGGAACAAACGCACAAATAACAACAACAAACCCCAACCATCCTGGAGGTGTTGAGAGAGAGTTAGGGGTGAGCCACTCTGGCTTTCGCGAGCACCCCAAGCTTGCTCCCTCTTCAGGGAGACTGCACTGGCCACCCTCTCTTTCTTGGATGTTCTTCCCCCACCCCCACCCCATGCCTGGTTCCTTGTCCTTCAGATTTCAGTTCACTTGTCACTTCTTCCGAGAAGCCTTCCATTTTATCTGAGGTTCACCACTTTCTCTAATGTCATCCTCATTAGTTTGTTTTTTCTTTTTTCTATGTAGTACTTGTGGAGCTCTTCAGGTAACTGAGGTTGAACCAGTTGAAGACTTCATATTTAGAAAATGGGGGTCTCCTGGGACCAGCAGATAGCATAACGACTGTGTCGCTGGACTCCCATGTATTCGACCGCAGTTTGAGTCCTGGACCCGGTGGCTTAAACTCACACCCGGCGCATATGCGTGTGTGCCCAAGATCCTGAGAGGAGAATGGAGGAGAAGGGATTGCGGCATGGCCATCCCTCCTGGGGGGTGATGTCTCGCTTTCTGTCTCTCTGTCTCTGTCTTGCTGTAAGCGCATGTGCCCTAGAGCGAAAACTTCTCCAAAAAGAAAAGAAAAAAAAAAAAAAAAGGAAAAAAAGAAAATGGGGTCTCCCAATCAAATGAGCTAATCTGTTAAGGAATAGAACATAGGACTTCATAGAGTGTTATCCGCATCAAATGAGAAGCACTCCAGGAGTTGGCTAGCCTCACCCAGTCCGATTTTCTTGCTGTTTCCTCCCAACTTTCTCTCCTTAGTTTTCAACTTCATGAAAAATCTGATGACTCCCTGATCTGTGGTAAAGGCTGCACACTTACTGACTATGCATGCTCTAATGAGTCTGAAGTTGTGCATGAAGA